ACCGGTGAAATATGCCACGAAAAAATCGACACCAAAAATGAGAATGAGAAATAAATACAACACGCCAATTGAACTAAGCAGAAGGAAAGATAGAGGGAACGAGAGAAGAAAAAAAAACACGGCCGGCAATCGGTATAAACAATCAAGCCGGCCCACACGATCTGCTGCCTTGAAATCCGTTGCATTGCGATGGAGCTCGCGCGCATGTCGCGGTGTGGGCTCTAAATGAATTCGGACATTATTATCTGTCATCAGTCAAGTGATTTATTGAAATCGTGAGTATTTAAAAGGAAATGGTTGCTCACGTTTATTATTGTTTCGCGTATTGTTCTGTTGTCGTTTTTTTTAACGGTTCGGTCTTGTCTCGAAGAGGAGAGTGAAAAAAAGGGTTCGCTTAAGCGAATTTGCAGTTGTCGACGGCGCACAAATGTTTATTGTTGATGGTGAGTTATTGATCGCGCGCATTTGAACGAACGAAACGGCCAGAGTGCTCGAACGAAAAAGATTCTCATGTGTCGATTTTCGAACCATTCGTGATATCAATGCTATTCGCGAAACGTGCACTCGACTAAACACCTAATCCCTGAACATTCAAAGCTTCGACACAACAATTATAATGAAAACAATCAAATCAAGCGCGTTCTTCTGTTTTGCTCTTTGTGACTGTTTCTGGTTTGTTGCCGATGAGGCGTCGTAAAATAGCAGTTCATTAGTGTGCATTGCAAACACTCTGACAATTGGCCATAGAATTGCAAAAGCTGATTAGAAAAACACAACGAAAATTAGCCCGTTGAAAGAATCTAAATTAAATTGGCCAGGAGTAACGGGAATCAAAACATGGCTCGGTCCAAAAGAACGTCGCACATTCTTATTCAGTCGGTATGATAATCGACTTTTGACTCGTGACTTGTTCGTTCTGAGAAAACACTCGAATTGGTACTACAAACAAATTGCTTACACAGAATTGTGCAAATTCTCGGAAAATTCTTTCATTTTTCTATGTGTGCTTTTAATGTCGTGCAAAATTGATTTGGTTACTGTTGCTGTTGTTGTTGAAGAAGAAGAAAAAGAAAGAAGAAAAGAATGAGGTGCTTTTTAAGTGTGCACGCCATAATATTTTTGTTCAATTGATCTCTCATCAAGCGCAACGGGATGTCAGATGAGAAGCGTTTGATGTGTAACGACGACACTGAGTGTCGTGTCAAGTCTAAGTGATTTTGAAATTTGAGCACACCCGATGCGCTCGCACCCGCTCACTCTCCCTTTCTCTCTCTATCGCTTCGTGTGTGCCGAGGAATTTCTTGGATAGGCACTCGCTCGGCTCGCGGTAAACATCAACAAAACGTGTCGCATGTCATTCAAACCGCATTTTCATTCCTGTTTTTCGTTTGCAAAGATTATTTGTATAATTTTCAATTTCATCTTGTCTTTGTTTTCTTTTTCCACTGTTTGTCGCTTTTTTCTGCTCTCTCTCTCTCTCTCTCTCTCTCTCTCTCTCTGTCCGTGTGTTTTTCACGTTTTTTTTTTCTATTTCGTTGGTTGTTTTTATCCTGAAACTTCAGTGCCTGTCATATTTTCCGTTAGCATATTTTGCTGCTCACAGTCTTGTCAGTTCAATTTATCTACTCCGGTTGTGCGCCTCTGTCTGTTTAAACCGTACATTTTCCTGCTATTCCTTGTATCGTGATTTTTGTTTTTCGTTTTATTTTTTTTCGGTCATGTCACTCTCTCGCTTCTTGTTTTTCCTCTCGCAATATCTCTCTCTCTCTCTCTCTCTCTCTCTCTCTCTCTCTCTCATGCTTTCGGGCGAGCGTTATAGCCAGTATTTCAATTCCGGTTCGTTTCATTTACGAAGCGACAACTTATTGCTCATTTTATGCAATGTTGAATTGAATGCGTTGCTATGTATTTTCGTACGTTCGTTCATTGTGTGTTATGTTATTTACCAACTGTGCAGCGCGCGCGCGCTTGTTCATTTTCTGAGTGGAGTATGCTGCGCGATCTGAGAGAGAGAGAGAGAGAGCGCGACTCTGACTCTTGTTCCGCTCTCGACACATTGGCATCATCATCAACATCATCGTTACAGTTGTGACAAGTGACAGGCCATGGCAGCCCATTTCCCTTGTTACAACTGACAGGTTACTGACATCGCACTGTTTACAGGTAGACACAGCGAGGATATGATAGAGGCAACGCATCTGAAAAAAAAAGAGAAGCATCGTCAACGACGACGACGACAAAGAACCAAGTAACGACGACGACGACAACACCAGCAATAATAACAACTACAAAATATCAAGCAGCCCGTCAAATGGAGAAATATGAATGCCATCGAATGAAATGAATGAGAGAGAACTGGCGAATTTTGTGTGTAGGAACGAAATAAAAACTCGCACGTTTATTAAAATATTCCTGGAAATGTTCGAGTATGTATGCATATATTCATTTTTTGCGTTTCACGGCTACCGTTGCCATTTTGTCATGTCACTCACATTTTGCATACGTTCGTTTGCCAGAGTTTAACAACGCCAGTTGTTGTTGTTTTTCTCTTGCGTCTTGTTTTAGTTATTTATTTGCATTCGATTTCAGCCGCCAAAAAGAAAACGTACGAGGTGTTGAGAAACAGTTTTGTGTTTCAAAGCTTAAATGCGCCCGCAAAATGGCAAAGAATCATGTCTATTTTATCATGAGTGGTTAGCGTTCGATTGTTTCACCTTTTCAATTTATGACACGCTTGAACACTTTTAAACACTTTTCGCGCGTTCACTCAAAGCCACATTGAAATGCGCTGGTAAATTAAAATTGACAATTCCGTATATGTGAGTGTGTGATTGACTTTAATATCATTGACATAATTGATGATTGATGGATCGTCATTAATAATAATACATCGAGAAAACCCGCAGCCGCAGCCACAGCTCCGAAAAAGCGATGTAAATCAGTTCTCTAATCCGATTCCATTCGATGTGAATCGTTTGACATGAACAACCAAAACAGTAACCAAAGTATTTGTATTCATTGTCTGGTCTTACCTAATACCATACCATGAAATCATCAAATGAAGACAACCCCAAATCGATTTGACATAAATCAAATGTCTTTACTAAACACGACAAATGTAATTTCCAATTTGATTTTGTCTGCTCGCGCTTGTACACACCAAACATGGCTTTTGTTTGATCATCGACGAGATTTATTTTCATTTAGCCTGCTGCTGCTGTTGCCGCATTCAGTCAAAACATTTCATACCTTCCATATAAAACCCATAGAGAGAGAGAGAGAGAGAGAGAGAGAGAGAGAGAGAGAGAGAGAGA